CCCCAAAACCCCAAAACCCCAAAACCCCAAAACCCCAAAACCCCTTATATTCAGAAACAATTTGAACCTTTAATTATAATTTACTAAAAATGGACAAAATTTGTCGAACAAGTTTGCACAAAGGTAATCAGATCATGAATTTAGGCTCTTAGAGGGGATCAGAATGTTTATGAGGCTTCATAAGCCTTGGTTTGGTATACCTTTTGTTTAACTTTTGCTATAGGTACCGGAACAATCACAAATATACCAGTAAGTCCTTTTTCAATAACTTTTTGATAATTTTTTCTGCAGAAATCGTGTTTTGGAAGCAAAAGCATTCAGAGACTACATAATTGCAGTAGTTATAGCTCATTACTAACTCAACTTGGTGAGTATTATCCCTATTAACTCTCTAGAGACTATTAGCAGTGAAGGGGAACAAATTCCACCAGCTTTATTCAAAGCATTCGAGGAGAGAGAAAAGAGCTCAACATGGAAAGACTTTTTTACTATTTCAAGCACTGATCCTTATGATTATGATGAAGCAGTTTTAAATTTTACTGAATTAATGAACCGGAACAATTATACACAAACAATTCCAAAGAATGTGTGCATTGGAATAATCAACACGATGATTCTTGTGAGAAAAATGGATAAGGAACTTTCAAAAACTTTTGGTATGTAACTTCTTTAGGTTACAAATTTTATCCAACCCTATAGATTTGAAGGACAAAACGAAGAGTTATATCTCTAGGAACTGGATGAAGATGCCACCTGAGATTCTCAAGCATTATATTACTAACATTAAGTATCATCAAATTGAAAAGGAGATTCCTAAATATTTAGAGAGCCAGATTCAGCTGGCTCTTGAAAAAGAGAATGATCACTTCTACAACCAGAAGCAGATTGATGCAATTCTTGACGACATTATTGAGTATGCTTGGAAGTTCAATCTTCTGCACCTTAAATTAGACTGGTTCCCAGTTATCAGGAGACTTTTAGTAAGGAAAGTGCATAATTTTAGGTCCTAACTCAGTACAATCGGATTAGACAAATAATTGACATCCATTATAACCACCTGGAGCCTGCCAAGGCTGCTGAATCAGCAGTCTTGAAGGAGAATTTGGTTGAGCTAATCATTAGCCAAGGAATGAAAGAGTAAATTCAAGTGTAAATTTTTAGACAAAGGGTGAAAACACTCTTTTTCAATGCGGCAGGGAAGCTCATTGAGGATTACAATCTTGACACTAATAAATTCCCAGTGCTAAAGGAAGAGGCTATCAGGAAGGAAATGAACTGGTTTTTGTATTCCACCAACATCCTTAACCAGAGGAGGTTGCCTAACTGGAAGCTATACGATATATTTGAGGTATGACAAATCAAGTGAATTTTGTAGAGTGAAAAGACAGGGTATGAAAACCCTCTCAAGGATCATATAAAAATATAATAGTTGAATGTTTAATCAAGAGGTAACCCCCTTGTTATCTTTAGAGGCTCTAAGAAGCAAATCGAGGATGCCAGGTTGTTCGCAGTTAGATCTGGGATTTGGGATCAATTGGACCAAAAGACTCAAAATAGACTCTCAATAGTTCCCTTGAGAACAACATTTTCTGGTATAGTGGTAATAAGTTGATTTTATAGATGAAATGAGCGGCTCTCAATTAATTCAAGAGAAGTATTCTGAATCTAGGTTATAATTTAGGTTTGAACCCTTGTCTAGTCCTAAAAAGGACTACATTCACCTTCCTCAATCAACTGTTGTGAAAATGGTAGGACAAGAGAATGAAGTTGAGAGAATGATTCATGATCTCACTTCAAAAGCAGATCTTAGTGAAGACAGTCCTCTACTTCTAGGAATTGGTAGGTTATAGTTACAAATTTTAGACTGAGAATGGCGCCCTCCTTTTGCTTCAGTTGAGCCCAATGGAGCTGCCCTCCTCCAGCTTGGAAATGAGGATACTATTTACTTGATTGACATGATTTCATTGGCCAACTCAGAAACACTAGATAATGCCCTAACTTCTGTGTTTAATCATAAGAATATCAGAGTAATCGCTATGGATTTTAAGAATGATATCAAGGAGATCAACCTGAGATCGCCTGAGTTTAAGTTCATCTGGAATATGGCCAATCTCCATGATCTAAACACTATTTATTCTCACTTAAATAAGGACTCTCAGAAAACAAGTTTAGCTCATATCACTGAAGATCTTCTTGGGATGAAAATCTGTAAGTACGAACAAATTTCAAACTGGGAGAGAAGGCCCCTGACTCAGTCACAGATGCATTATGCTGCAGTTGATGCATACATCCTTATTGAGCTCTACAAGACAATTTGTAAGTCCTTGAATAACTTTTAGGAGATAATTTGGGAAAAGATTTTGAAGAGAAAATTGAGAAGATTGAGAAAATCGAGAAAATTCATACCAGCCCACAAAAGATCGTTTCTAGGAATGAGGAAGAGGAAAAGTCTCCAGAAAAAGAGGATCAAAAGACAGTGACTCCAGTAATACAGAAAAAGAAGGTTCTAGCGGAACAATCTCCTGAGACTCATAGATTGCTAACATCTAAATTTGTGCTTGAAGTTGAACCCTGTGATGAATACTCCTTCATAGTTGATGATACAATGCCAGAGCTATATAAGATCTTAAAACACCATAACTTCAGAGTACAGGTTCTTGAGAATGATAAAGAGAAAGAATTAGTTCTTGACCAAATCAAAGACGGGCCATGGATCATCATCACTAGATCAGTCAGTCAATATAAAGCATACGAGGGTCAGAGAAGGATCTTCTTCAATTTCCGTCATAAGATGCCTCCATTCGACCAGTTCAATGGTCTTATGAGGCAACTAAAGATACCATTACAGACAGAGGAAGATATCTTGGATCGAATCCAGTAATTCTTATATTTCAGTCAAATATCTTGAGATAGCTAGATACTTTCAATTTTTTTGGAAATTATAGGGGTTTTGGGGTTTTGGGGTTTTGGGG